AAAAAAAAAAAAAAAAGAATCCCTGAAGGTCCCTGAAAGTGCCCTGCCTTCAGGCTTGCACAGCCTCCGGCCCCCTCTCACCTGGATGAGGATCTTGCCAAGGCAGACGAAGGGGGTGCTGACCTCAGCCATCAGCAAGCAGCCTAGGAAGAAATCGCCCTTGCCCTGACGCCACACCTGCGGAGGACAGGGAGAACTAGCCTGGCCTCTCCCTGGACTCCCTCCCTCTCTTCTCTGCGGCCACTGTTGGGAGAGGCTCAGCTCGGAAGGTCTGAACACCTCTAGTGTACAGCGGCCAAGCTGCGAGCGTGACGTCACCGTATCCCTCCAACCATCCCGCGCGGGAGCCTCTATACCTTATGTTACAGCCGAGGAAACTGAGGCTCAGAGATCTGCAACCACAGCTCCCAGGCACCACGGCTGGGCATATCCAGCCCGGGCCAGGCTGAGCCCAGACCCTCTCGCTGTTTGGGGCTGGCCTGGTGCTCAGAAAACCCTCTGCGGGAACTCTCCATCCTGGGCCTGCCCTGCCCCTGGGGGACCCGGCCACAGGGCTCCCCGGGCTCCTGCGGCGCTGGCGTGAGCAGGACAGGAGGCCCTGGCTTTCGGCACCCCGACTCACCACCGACAGTGGGAAGCAGACGAGCACCATGACGGCGTGGTGGAGCACCATGAGGAACTCCTTGTGCAGGTAGCCGCGCGCCACGGCCCAGATGCTGCCCGGGGCTCTGGCTCCCCCTTCGTCCCCTCCGTGCCCCTTGACCTGGTGTTTGTGCCAGTGACAGAGGAACATGGCGTAGATGTCATAGATGAAGTAGGGCACTGCAAATTGCGTGTAGGCAGAGGAAAGCCAGTGTCTGTTGGGCAGAGAGAGAGGGGGGCATCAGAGAGGAAAGGAGATGGACAGAGCAGGGACCAGGTGCCAGGGTCGGCACTGGACGTGCCACCGGAGCAAGTGATATTCACAACAACCCTGAGACGGAAGTGGACTCTCGAGGTCCGTGATGGAACCCAGGGGTAGAGGGCAAGAAACTGGTCCAAGGTGGGACGGTCACAACGCTGGTAGGTAAGGGTGCTGGGAATCAAATCCAGACTGTCTGACCTCAGAACCCACCCATTTTTCATATTCATTCATTCATTCATTCATTCATTCATATTCTCTCTCTCTCTGCAATATGGGGAGAGGTGAGGTAGGGAAAAGACACCAAAGGACAGCCACAGACCACAGGGCAGTGACAGAGAAAGCAAGCTCAGGCAAGATCTGCGAGACAGCTGAGGTTAGGACAATAACAGCAGAAGAGGCAAGAGCAGTGGAGAGCGATCGTATTGCTGACATCCACTGACACGCAGGCACTGTTCTAATATCCAAAATCGTTTACATGCATAAACTTATTCACTCCCCGCAGAAACCCTACACAAAGTGGGGATGGTTACCACCCCCACTTTACAGATGAGGAAACTGAGAGACTAGGTGACTTGGCCAAGGAATAACCAACCATGGGAAGTCTGGTTCCACTGTCCCTAGAAGATTCGAGACAGGTGTCACAGACAAGCCTCACTGGGGACTTGGTGGTGCCGTTAGTGCTGCTTGTTCTGCCTGAACACGGCCCAACCTCTTGTTGTTGTTGTTGTTGTTTTTCAGGTACAGCCAAGCATTAAGGAGAAAACGCTGAGCAAAAGGAGTCAAGAACAGAGAAAGTTCCTTGTACTTTGAGAGTAAACAAAAATGAAAAGCACATGAATATGCAACATTGCATTTTTCTTCTTGACTCAGCACGTTGAGCACTTTCTCTTAAATGCTGTAGCCCCGTGGCAGGTCTGAGGTGGGAGTGCGAGGTCAGGGAACTGGCCCAGCTAGGTGGAGGGATGAAAGCAAAGTCAGCCGTTGTAATGAAGAAAAGGAGCTGAGACCCTATATGAGGAGCTGCCCAAGGGAGAAGAGGAATGAGGGCTTGGGGCGGGGAGCGGGGAGGCCAGCGAAGGATCGGGTGAGATGGAGACAGAATGCAAACCCTAGGAAGACTGCCTACAAGGGGACAGGCAGCCCACTCCAGCAGGGATGATTTGGGGCAAAGAGAACCCGAGACCCATGCTGGAGCTTGGAGAAAGGGAGAGAGGAGAGGGAGCAGCAACCCAGGTTAGACAAGCAGGGAGAGCCCTGGTGGAAAGGGGTCCGACTGGCCCAAGTGGAGTTGGAGCAGGAGTGGCTGGGAGAGCCAGCCCCAGGAGCCATGTGGCTTGTGGGGGGACTAGTCCTGGTTTAACTTGAAGAGTTAAAACCGTCCGCACACTCTCAGCAGTTAGGTGCTCAGGAGTAGGAACAGCTGTTGTCCCTGGATTAACCCTGATATTCCCCCACCCACCTGAGGATTACAGGGGAAGGGATAAGAACAGACCTGGGGGTGGGCGTGGGGGGGGGCAGGAAATGTAAGAGTGGAAAGGTGACCTCTGTGTGAAAAGATGAGAGCAAGAGATGCCTGGGAATCCAGGCTCATCTTAGACCCAGGGGTGGAGCAGAAGGGCAGAGGGGAAGAGGAAGCCAAGTTACCAAATGGGATCTGAAGAAAGAGTTAAGCACCCACTGTACAAGAGCCAGAACTGCTTTAGGCTTTTGACTCCCGCAGCTCAATGCCTCCTCAGGGTAGCCCTTCCAGGAAGGGATGTACCCCACTCCACAGATAGGGGAACTCATCTGTAGAGAAAGAGGGGCGCCGCCAGGCCAGGGTCCTCCAGACAATGTTCCTGCAGCCCAACAGTCTCCAGAGAAGGGGGTCAGAGCCGGAAGTTAAGCGCGGGGCGTCTTCAGCACCCTGCCGGGCCATTCGGCAGCAGCCCGCGGGTCACCTGGAGCTGGCCCGTCAGCACCACGGACAGGGCCCCTCTCCTGCCTCCTCCGGCCCCACATCGCAGGCCTGGGCTTTTTTGGCAAGCACCAGGCACTGCGGCAGCTGCCAGCGCCAACTTCTGGCCTCTTCACCCTTCCCCTCCCCCACCCGCACCCCCCCACGGCCCAGCCGTTAGTGGCCTTGTCTCTGTCATCTCTCTCCTGTCTCCCTCTTGCGCACAGAGCTGGGACTGGACACCTGCACTCGGGGAGGAGCAGAGGGGTGAGCCTGGCATGAGGAGGGAGGCACCCCAGTTGGGTGCTGGTTAGAAAGGGGGTCTGAGGGATGTAAGGGAGGGAGGAAGTGGGGAGGAAAGGGCACACAGGACCTACTATGATATGAGAGGCCAGGAAGCCTAGGAGCCACTCTGACAATCCTTTTTGATCCCCACTCCTTTTCCCCCTGGCTCTGACCTTAAAGGACAGGACATGGATAAATTTATTCCTGGGTGTTGAGTTGCAGCTAATGCAGTTAACTTGCTCAGTCCCAAGTGAAGGGTTTGGGGACCACTGAAGGAGTCCCCTGGAAGACCTGGGGTCCTCGGGAGTCACACACGCACACGGGCTGCGGGAACTTGGGCCAAGGTGGTCTCGTGGCACTTACTGGTCATCAATGATGTGCTTGCAGGAGGTGGAGACGATGTAGCCAGCGGTGGAGGCCATGACGGCTTGGACAGAGGACACTAGCCTAGGGAGAAAGAGGGACCAGAGGTAGAGGAAGGAGACACAGCCCTCAGTTTCTCCTCTTTACTGTCCAGTTACTGCGCCTCGGGCCACTCTCTGCCCGTCTCTGCCTGAGGCCGGCTTGCCCGGGGCTCACCCCCCACCCCAGGCTCCAGGACTTCCCGCTGCTACTTCTCAGTGCACCCCACTCCTCCCTGCCAGCTTCCTTCCCTTGGTCAGTCGTGGACACTGAGTGGCCTCAGGAGGACACAAGGGAGGTCATCTTGAGGTGAGACAATGCTGATAACAAGGTCTCTTCCCTGGGAGGGGCAGCACAGGGACAGCACTGGATGGCAAGGGGGTGCCCCGGGCCTGTTCTCACAGCGCTCAGCCACCCAGTCACAGGCCACTCCTCGGTGACCCTGAATTCCCCTGGTCACTTTCCTGCTCACTCTTTGACTGTCCCCATGCTTCCCTCCCCAACTCTGGCCCTCATTCTAGCTTGTACAGAGTTCTACCGTTCACTCCTCTGTCCCTTGTACCCCCAAACATGTGCCCTGACTAATACACAGCTCTCTGCCCCTTGCCCCTAATATCTTATAGGAATGTTTTAGTCACATGCTGGTCCTGTTTTGGAGGGTGGGAGGGTGAATGGGGGAGAGGAAAGAAAAGCAGTCTGGATACTAGTAGACCAGATGGCTGGGTCTGGACGAGGTCTCCTGGGACAGTGAGTAAGGCAGTGAAGGGGGCAGGCAGCTTGGAGGTAAAGCCCACCAACCACTTCAGGAACCACCAGTCCCTAATGGGCCAAGGGTCCAGGGAAGGACTGGGGTCCCTTCCACCCCCATAATGCCTGAGAAGGGGAGAGGGGCCGGGGGAAGGGATGCAGTTTACCTGGCTGAGACAATGACCGCGTCAGCCTCCTCCCAGCGCAGCTGGGGCAGTCGCTGGAGCGTGTTCTTGGAGAGGAGAAAGAGTCCGGGGAACACCACCCCCCCAGCCACCATTGGGGTCAGCATGGTGGCTCAGGCCTTGGGCAGGGAGGCTGGCGGCCGCAAGGGGACAGGGAGGCCGAGCTGAAGGGAGTTAGAGGTGGAGAAGGGACACCAAGCCAGGGAGGGAGAGAGAAAAAGAAAAAGGGGCACAAAGGGGACAGGGCGGGGACGGGATGGGGCAGGCGAGTCAGACCAGAGGAAGGGAGAAAGGGAGTTAGATGAGACTGGGGAAATGGGGAGAGACTGGGTAGAGGGAGGATCCGGGAAAGGGAGCGGGAGGAAGCTGGCCAGAGGGCTGGAAGCGAGACAAGAGGAGAGGACTTGATAAGAGGACAGAGAGGGAAAGGGTACCGGAGGAGGAGGATGCGGGTGGGGGAGGGGAGGGAGAGGAGAGGCAGGGGGGGAGGGGGGGCTTACGTGGAGAGGCTGGGGGGGGCCGAGAAGGGGGGGTGGGACTGTGGTGCCAGCCCTGAGAGGGAGGGAGGAGGGAGGGAGGGAGGAGGGAGGGAGGGAGACAAGAGGAGCGGCCCGGCAAGTGGTCAGCGGTCAGCTCGGCTCTCCCGCCTCTCACTGCCGCCACGGTCCCCACCGCCCGGCCTGGAGGCTGCGCGGGGCATTATAGAGAGTTCCTGCCCAGCCCCCTGCCCCCTCGGTGGAGAGGGGGAGGGGGAGGGGGAGTCACCAGCTTGGGGAGGGCGGGGGAGGGGTGGGGAATGATGGCACCGACCAGACACCAAGAAACCGGACCTGCAGCAGCGTCTCCCCATGCAGCTCTGAGCCACAGCAGCGGCTGCGACAGAGATGGGGGGAGCAGAGAAAGAGGGAGGGGGAGGCCCTTAAAGAGACAGCAGCTGCGGCACAGGGGGCTGCTGGGGACATGGGCCAAGGGAGTGTGGGGCTCTCCTCTTGGGGAGGAAGGTGGCCCTGGGCTCCCTGGCCAGCTGGGAGGGGGCTCTGAGCCCCCAGATGGGGGCTTGACCCTTTTTCCCACCAACACATTGCAAATGCCTGCCATTTCTTCCTCTGCCAGTGCCTCCCAATGCTTGCCCCTCAGTGGCCTGCTGGGGTCCCAGTTTAGGGGCGCCACTCCAGCAGAGAGAAAAAGGATTCCTTTGGGGAGGGAATGAGACAAAGTTGTGCATCTTGCTGTCTCTGAAGGATGAGTTTAAGGACTGGATGAGAATAAGAACAACTCAACACAGCCTCCTGCAGGCTCAGAGACACCCCCCCCCCCCGCCCCGTATCCTTCACTCCAATGGGAAGGGGGAAAACTATAAGGTGTAGGTGAGGTGCCTTTAGATCGAGTCTTCGCTGCAAGGCTGTCCGGTGATCTTGTCTACCAACTGTAATAGCACGGAGGTAAAGGCACTTGTCGCGTTCTTACGGGGCAAGGAATGGTCCTGAAGCCTTCGGTGGCCCTCCCCAAGGTCACATAGTTAGAAGAGGCAGGAGACCTCCCATGCTGGGTATCAGAGTGGCTGCCGGGTTTGAAGAGGGTGAGGAAACCCTGCCTCTCTGAAAACCCACCAGGAAGGGGAGGATGCTCCCGCCCTGTCCCTCAGGCTACCTGGCCTCTCCTGGCCTCCCCTAAGCACTGGTCACTTTCTTTTTCTTCAGGTCTATTATCTTCTTGGCTCCCCTTCCCCGAGGGCTTCACAGAACAACAGTAAGAAAGGTCCTTCCCCAGTGGGAAAGGACCCCAGGGATTAGCTGGTTCAAACCCCTCATTCACCTGCGAAGAAACTGAAGCACAGTGACTTGGCCAGGGTCACACTGCATGTCCGAGGCCCAGCTGGAACCCCGCCGGCCTCTAAGCTGCTGCTCACCCTTTCGTGCTGCCTTCCTGGAATTTGGCCTTCCTGTCCTGAACCCCACTGTCCTCTGGGCTTCTGCATGACGTGGGGCCTGTACCCAAACCGTACTTTGGTTTCCAGGCCTACCCTAAGGTACACCTCAATAAGCAACCCCACAATTTGTCTTTGCCTGTCCAAAGACCATTCCATTTCCTCCCCAAAAGAGAGGCAAAGGGCTGGATTTGCAATTTTGTGCTGCCCTCTAGTGGCACATGGAAGGAACAGACTGAGAGGTCTCCGGCCTTTGGCAGAAGGAGTTAGGGACAATTTAAGGACAATAGTGCACCTAGCTTCTTGACCCCAAGGCTAACCCTAACCCTAAGGGGGAAAAGGACCCAACTTCTTGAGTGTTTACTACGTGCTGGGCATGAGGCAAGGTGGTTTATGTTCATTCTTATTTAATCTTCCCAGATGGTCAATATTTGTTTTATAGACAAGAAATGGGTTCAGAGATTTAAGGAAAAAAAAAAAAAAAAAGACAAAAAACTTGCCCAAGATAACACAGCTGTGAGAACTGGCAAAACTGGATAGCTCCAAAGCCAAAGAGCGAAGCTGAGTTTGGGGGGAGGATGGGCGATGGTAGAGCACCGTAATGTGACTACTTGATTCAGGACTACAAACCTGGTCAAGTCGTGGCTTCTCTCTGGACGACGTGAATTACAGCAGGCAGACACACTGTTCTGTCTTCCAGGAATTCACCTAGACACCCAAGTAAATTCTGCCTTCTGCCTGCTCCCTCTCCTACCTAAGTTTCCAAGATAGCTCACACGTGTATTAAGCTGTGTCAAACAGGTCATAAATTGGCAGCGGAAGGGCCCAATCCGGCCCACAAACATGCTTTCTTCAGCCAGTATGGTGTTGCCAGGACAGTATTTTCTTAAATTCTAACTTACTTGTCAGTGTTTGCAAATTAGGAGATTTCACATCAAAGCTCAACTTCTTTTAAGAAAGAATCAGAAGGTCAGACAACATGGAGCCCACGTTCTAGCTCCATAATGCTGGGCTGGGGCCAAGCAGCTGTTACCCCATTTGATGGGCTGAATGTTGAGTCCTCCAGCTCACCAGTCATCCTCCACAGAGCCTACAGCCCTGTTCCTTGCAGGAGTCGGCCACCCCTATTTCACAGACATGAATTTACCTGATCCTCACACAAGGTCTCCACGAAGACCGGAAGGTGGGTGTTCTTAGTAAACCCATTTACAAGTGGTGGGGGGTGCTCTGAAGTTCAGAGAGGTTAAATGACTTGCAAAAGATCCCATAGCCAGTTTCTTTTGACTCTTAATTTCCCCCTGGCTTGTGCGTGCGTGTGTGCGTGTGCGCGCGCGCACACACACACACACACACACACACACTGCTTCCGCTCTCACCACTAACTCTTCCTGAAAGCAGGAGCTCATTCTCCACCAGGCCTGGCCCAGGAAGGATGCCCTCACCCTGTCTTCTTACTTGGATGCCACCAAAACAGCCTCCGCTCTCTCCATCCGCAGGTTGGAGTGGTTCTGCAGGCCCCAGCAGAGGACAGTGAAGCTCAGTGGGAAGAAAATGCAGCCCAGTACAAAGAGTAGGGTCATGCCTGTCTGGGGTAGAGAAGGTGAGAAAAGGTGAGCATGAGAATGCACAGTGTCCCTCAGACCCAGAGACTCCCTTCACCCTGATAACCCAATGGCCCATGGGATCCACCCATCTGTAAGCCATCAAGCATTGTTCTTCCCTAATCTCTTTGGGATTTTTTAAAAACAGATTTTATTTATTTGAGAGGGAGAGAGAGAGAGCATGAGCAGGGGGAGGGGGAGCAGAGGGAGAGGAAGAAGCAGACTCCCTGCTGAGCAGGAAGCCCAAGGTGGGGCTCAATCCCAGGACCCCAGGACTGGGAGATCATGACCTCAACCCAAGGCAGATGCTTCACTGACTGAGCCATCCATGCGGCCCTCTTTGGGATCTTTATTGCAGCTTAAATATCCCTCATCCAGGACAGTTGAACATCCTTTTTTTTTTTTTTTTTAATCAACCCATTCCAACAATCTCATTCATTTTCCCTGTAATCCCTGGAGCTGGTCTACACCTCCCAATCCATCTCACACTTTAAAATTTCTTCTCTTCATCCTTCAACCCTAAGGATGTGCCTGCTCCTTCTTATTAACTCCACCCCATCCCATCCTCTGCCCGCCTACACCTCTCCCTTCTCCTAGGTTCTCACCTCTGAGGGGCAAGGTGGAGGCTACAGAGGGAGGCTGGTGATTCTCATCAGCACCCAGAACTCGGAAAAAGGAAAGAGGGTGTTCAAATTGTAAAGATATTTGAAATTTAAAAATACTTTCTTAAAAAGAAAAAGAAAACCCAAGGCATTATCCCATTAACAAAGAAAAAAAAAAAACAACAAGAAACAACAGAACCCCTGAAAACATACATTTTTACATATATGTTATTTTTGTCTGGGAAAGCCTCCCCTCCCATCCACTCCAGGGAGGGGAGGGGTGCAGAAGGCCCAGGGGGGGGTGCAGGGAGTTGGGGCCCGCCATCCTGCATCTCTTAGGCAGCTTTGAGGGGACCTTCTTTTAGGACACAAGGAAGGTGTCAAACTGCAAGGGCACGAGGCAGAGGCAGCTCGGCTGGGGCAGTTGAAGAGGGCAGGAACAACGCGCTCCCATTGGTGGATGGGTGGCCGGTTTAGAACATGCTCTCCTCCCATTGGCCCACCTCTTGACACATGTGCCCTATCATGTGCTTCCTGGCAGAGGGACCTCCCCTAGCGGGGGTGGGCTGTGCGGGGCCTTCTAACGCAGAACTGACCAATTAGAATTCGTCAATGGCTCGATGGACAGCTTCGTTTTGGGCAGAGTTGAAAAAGGAGCAAGGAAAAGGAACGAGGGGGAGAATGAGAACACCCTAAGGAGTCGTGGCTTTAAAAGACAGTACAGTATAGGATAATGGTTAAGATGGCAGTTTCTAGGGTGGGACCATCTGGGCTTCAAAATCAGACTGCGGATAATAAAAGAAACTGACTGTATGTCTCCATTTGGATGAAGTTCAAAACAGGCAGAATATCTTCGGTGAAAAATCAGAATAGCACTCAACTTGCGGGGGGAGGTGTTGACTGAGGGGAGACCCCAGCGAGCCTTCTGGTGTTGGGAATGCCCTTATTCTGATCACGAGTGTACACATGGGTAGGCGTGCCCTTAAAATGTGTGCACTTTATTTAAATTAAGCTGGAATTAATTTTTAAAATGCTAAACAAATTTAGGCTCTTCCGTTCCCTGAACGATGGTGGGCCAATCCCTGTGGACCTCAATTCTTCATCTGTGAAGCTGGTTTAATAATAATTCCGGGTCATTAAATGCTACTTCTAGAGCATTTACTATGGGCCAGACACTGATCCTAGTGCTTAAAAATATCAACTCATTTCCTCCTTAACAGAGGAACAGCTTTGTAGGTTATTATTGTGTCTATTTTACAGAGATGGGAAAACAGAGGCACAGAGAGGTTTGGTACCTTGTCCAAGATGACACAGGAAGTGAACGAGG